TTTTTTTTCAAATTTTGGGGCCCAAAATTAAGGTGCATTTTATACATGGGAGCGTCTTATACATGGGGAAATACGGTAAATGTTTTTCTGGGGAGAGAGAATGCATCCATCACTGATGAAGAGAGGTCAGGGTGGCCAGTAGTGAGCCAAACTGATGAAAACATTGCAAAAATTCATCGGATTGTGCATCAGAAATGTTGGCTGATTTGAGAAGCATAGCAGACCAAGTAAACATCAATAGAGCAACCATTAGGAAAATCTTAACTGAAAATCTTGGCATGAGAAAGGTGTGTACAAAAATGGTCCTGAAGGAGCTCTTGCATCACAAATATGCACCAGCTCAGAGGACACTGTCTGTGAGGGAATTTTTAGCCAGTAAACAAGTAACTGTATGGGAACACTGCCTGCTCACCTGATCTGGCACCCAATAACTTCTTTCTTTACCCAAAGATAAAGGAAACACTGAAAGAAAGACATTTTGATGCTATTTAGGACATAAAGGGTAATATGATGACAGCTTTGATTGCCATTCCAGAAAAAGAGTTCCAAAATTGCTTTGAAGGGTGAACTAGGCACTGACATCAGTGCATAGCTTCCTAAGGGGAGTACTTTGAAGGTGACCATAGTGATATTCAGCAATGAGGTATGTATTGGGTTGTCGGAAAAGTCATGACACATTTTTGCAGTGAAAAACAGAAAAAATACGTCATGACTTTTCCGACAACCCAATAGCACTTTTTCTAGGATGAGATTGTGAATTTAATTGTCAGACCTCATACATTGTAGAGTCTGGATTAAGTTTTCTGTCTTTGAAGACTATTTTTTCAAGCAAGCAGTCAAACTACTGTATAATCACCTTGAATTCATGAAAATTTGTTTTATACTTTGTGAGAGTGGGTCCGTTTCAACTTTGCCTTACTCTTAGGATAAATTCTTAGTCCTGGGACATTGTTTCTACCTCTAAGACATAGCTTATCTGGGATTTCAATAGAAATCTTGAAGGGTTTATCAAGTTTTCTAACTTGGTGGGACTTGAACTCTAAACTCTGCCTCCCATCCGCTGGCAGTGCTTGAGTTCTACTCATCTTTTCCAGCCTTCCTGCCCTCCAGCCTTCCAGCCTT